AAGAGATAGCAGTTCGGAGAAACCCTTAAACCCGTAAACCCTAAACCATAACCATGCTTAATCGGCCTCCATTGGCCTTTACAGCACTTCAGACTTCCCCAAGTTAGGGTTTAGGGTTTAAGGCAAATAGGGCTTAGGGTTTAGGGTTTGGGTTTAGGGCAAACAGCTTGAAGAGCTGCAGAGTTGTGTGTGTGGCGGTCGGGGGGAGGGTGATGTATAGAGGAGTATGCATCTATGATCTGCGCATGATCCCCCACCCTAAACCCTAAACTCTATATAAACCCTAAATACCCTAAACCCTAGACCCTAAACCAAAGCGACCCTGAAGCTCAGGTTTAAGGTTTCGGGTTCTGGGTTAACCCTAAACCCTTAAACCATCCTAATGTAGGGGCCTTGATAATTAGAATAGGGTTTGGGGGGTTCCCTATATTGTATTTATAGTATATTGGCCCCCCAAAACCCCCAACCCTAAACCCTAAACCCTAAACCCTAAACCCTAAACCCTAGTTGTAGGGTTTCACAGGGTTGAGGGGTCAAAGTTTAGGCGCTGCGGCGCTTGGGGTTATAGAGGTTAGGGTTTATGGAGTTTAAGTTTTGGGGTTTGGAAACCCTAAACCCTAAACCCTAAACCGAATGAGAATCGAGTCTAGAATTTCAACTTGAGGCGTACTGCCGCTCTGGAACTGGACCCCAAAGGACTGTCCCTACCCTTGTTGTTAGGGTTTAGGATTTAGGGTTTTGTTTCGGACTTAGTTCCATCATGGTACTATACATGTGGGCCCTCGTGGCTCTATGAAATATTCCCGGAAGCCCACTAAGAAGGACCAGTGTAAGGGCAATTGAAGGATCAGGGGACTTCGTCAGGGTCATTATACAAAGACCACACTCTATTGTTGTTTGTTATGCGAACTAAGATCCGCGATCCTGCTATACCCGAAGCCCCTAAACCCCTAAACCCTAAACCCATCTAAACTCCTAAACCCTAGTTTAATGGGCCCCTAACCTCTAAACAAAGAACTGGGTCTTGGGCTTTAGTCTACCGGGATTCAGCATCACGGCTTTGGGGGGTTCGGATTTAGGGCTCAGGGCTTTTGGGGTTTAGAGTTCAGGGATTTTTGGGGTTTTGGGGGTTTTGGGGTTTTGGGGTTTTGGGGTTGAGGGTTCAGGGCTTTTGTGGCTTAGGGCTTCGGGTTCAGGGCTAAGGGTTGATATTGTCTACGGTTCAGGGTTGCAGGCGCTTCGCGTGAAGAGGCAGGTCGCCAACATCGAGAACAAAAACACCCCCTAAACCCTAAACCCAAAGCCCTAAACCCTAAACCCTAAACCCTAAACTTCCCTAAACCCCTAAACCCTAAACCCCTAAACCCTAAACCCCTAAACCCTAAAGCCCTAAACCCTAAACCCGATGCCCTAAACCCTAAACCCTAAAGCCATGATTATCGGACCTTTGGTCTCTGCTTGTTCATGTAGGGGCCTTGCTAAGTAGAATAGGGTTTTGGGGTTTAGGGTTTAGGGTTTAGGGTTTAGGGTTTAGGGTTTAGGGTTCCATTCTACTACGATTAGATTCAGGAACCCCCGGAATAGTGTTGGTAACAATTTCGGCCCTATATTACACGGTCAAGGGTCTGCGCAGCGTTGGGTAACTATTTGCTTCATTCCAAACTTCAACCCAAGATCCTAGGCCCAAACCCTAAGCCTCAAACCCTAAACGGGGTTCAGGGTTTTAGGTTTTAGGGTTTAGGGTTTAAGGGCTTCACTATAAATAATCCCTGAACCCTCAAACCCTACACCCTAAAACCCTAAACCCTAAACCCTAAACCCCTAATCCCTAAATCCGTCCATCCTAAACCAGGAACACCAAGAGTCCTAAGAGGCCCCAACAAAGTGCCCAAGATCCCTCAAAGCCCTGAGAACCATACCCTTCAAACATGGTTTAGGGCTTAAGCCCTAAACCCCTAAACCCTAAACCCTAAACCCTAAACCCTAAGACCCTAAGCCCTAAACCCTAAATCCCTAAACCGCAACCCCCTACACCCTCGGCTTAGTGTAGGGTTTAGGATTTAGGGGTTTAGAGTTTCGGCTTTAGGGGTTTGGGGCCTTTGGGTTTACGGGTTTCGGGGCCTCAAAAGGTTCTTATTCGGGTTCCTTGAATCGTTCTTATTAGGGTTCCTTTGAAAGGCTCTTATTAGAGTTTCTCTAAAAGGTTCTTATTAGGGTTTCTCTAAAAGGTTCGATTAGGGTTTCTTGAAAAAGTTCTTATTAGGGTTTCTTCAAAAGGTTCTTATTAGGGTTCCTTTTAAGGGTTCTTAGTAGGGCTGCTTCACTAAAGGGATCTTATTAGAAGGGTTCTGCAAGAATTCCGCACTTTATTTTCGGAACTACCAACAAGACCAGGAACCCTGAGCCAAGTTTTTTCTCGAAACGTCACGCGATCTCCGGGGAAGGGACGTCCTTCGCCTGGCCGCCCAGAACGCTAAGTTTAGGGTTGATAGGGGTGTAGGGTTTACAGTGCGATTTAGGGTTTAGGGTTTAGGGTTCAGGGTTTCGGGTTTAGGGCTTAGTCGTGTGGGCACCTATATGTCACAAAGAGACTTCTTACAAGGCTTTGTAAGGTCCACATGGCTTTGTACGGGCTTTCCTCCAAGAGTCCAAAGTACATTTAAATCTTTGTATTTGTGTTTGCGATAATACTAGGGCTGATGATATAAATCCTGGATTGCCCATAATAACTAATATGCCATAACTCCCAAAGTTTAGGGTCCTTAAGGTCATGCATGATTTATATCATCAACAGTAGTCTTTGTGGGTTGGCCTTGATCCAAGTATCCTCTTCTTCGGTGTCAAAACGACCGAGGCAATGATGGTCTCCCTGGACAACACTTTCACTTCTATAGGGTGTCAGGCTGACATTGTAGTCGGATTGGCCAGCAAAACATCTCATTTCAAAACCCCGTAAGTATTAGTATATGTTCGAATAAGGCTTTGGAGCCTACTATCGGCCTCGACGACAGTACCGGGCTGTTCTGATAGGCTCTCTAGGGTTTACGGTTTAGAGTCTCAGCTCTTAGCTATTGAACTTTGGGCGTAGGGTTTGTGGTTTTGGGTGATGCAAACACTTGTTCCTGACATGGATGGGACCAGAGACATGGGATTGGCCATGGCAGCTATTTCGTACTATACGGCGTACAGTGTAGGGTCTAGGTTGGCCCGTAGAAGCCTTGGAAAATATTCGTAAATAGGATACTCTTAGGCACAATAAGGGGATATATAAAATGCCCCAAAGGCCTACTAGGGGTTCTAGACGGGCAGCATGTGTTTGTGGTTCCATAAGGGTTCTTGGTTTTGGGGCTTAGGGTTTGTGTCAAGGCTGGTGAGCTGGTGGCGAGCTGTGCACTTAAAGCACACACATGAAACTCCGCGTTTGTTCTCAAGCTGAACCCTAAACCCTAAACCCTAAACCCTAAACCGTCCTAGCAACTCCGCGTTTGTTCTCAAGCTGTGCGATAAGTGCTTCAAGCGGGACTTGCGAGCTCGATCCCTCGCATGCAGCCCGCCGTTGGTCAGCCCGTCCCGGTGGCCGTAGGAACAGAAGACCCTAAACCCTAAACCC